CTAATCGTTATGGGGCGCCTCGGTGGCTCAGTCGGTTATGCATCCGACTTCGGCTCAGGTCATGATATCGCAGTCCATGAGTTCGAGCCCCACGTCGCGCTCTGTGCTGACAGCTCAGAGCCTGGTCCTGTTTCAAATTCTGCGTCTCCCTCTCTCTCTGCCCCTCCCCTGCTCATGCTCTGTCTCTCTCTGTCTCAAAAATAAACAAATGTTAAAAAAAAATTTTTTTTAAACTAATTGTTAGATAATACTGTAAACCCAAGAATATATAAATTGAAGAATTATGCAAGAGTGAGGAACCACCTAAACTAAATCATCAGGTTTGTTCGACTAAGATAACGGACTATATAGTAAACATAAGCAACATCTTTGACTTTTCATAATTAAAAATCTCCAGTTTCAGATTTCTCAGGGAAAAATGGGGGAAAAATTTAAAAGAAATTCTTCATAGAGCTAGATGACAAATACAAAGAAATTTATTGTATCTTAGTATACATTTCTAAGAACTTGCATCGTGAATATTTTGGCGAGCAATACCAAATAAAAAATATTTTTCATTTCAATAAAAAGTAATTATATTTTCAATGCCACTCACCCTGTCTGTCAAACAATGAATCAACAGCTGTGGCTTTATTTGAAGGAGCCTCTGTGATCGGTCTGAGATATGTTCTATATCCTTTTAAAATGGATGCCATAAAACGCAAAAATGCCTCTTGAATTTCCATTTCAAGTTGTGTCATCTTTTTTTGCCAAGAGAAATCTGCTTCAATCGGAGTCATCTCAATTGCTGAACTTTCCTGAGTTTTTCGGTGAACTGACAAATGAAGAGAAAATAGCATTTTATATCTAATACAAGTACTGATTAAATAATTAAGAAAACCGTCAAAATAAAACTCATGACTTCCTGAAATTCCTCTCTCCATTTGTGTAAAGGATAGTTGGCAGGTGCTAACAGGAAGACTCAAGCAGACAGGACATAACATGCTCAAAAATCATGAACCACAATATTAATATCTTAGTACTGAAATTTTGTTTTGTAATGAGATTCCTTTTAAGCAGAGCAGAATTTTACTTAAATTTATGAATATTCTCATATATGTTCTTTCATTAAAAATACTCCTTTTTCCTCACATTCACCTGAAGATAGCTGGGGATACAACTTCTTTAAGGTACTAAGCAGATTTTTGCATGGCTTTTTGGGAAGCTGCTTCCAATTCATGTTCTTCTTTTCATCTGATCTATTAAATAAAAACATAATAAAATCTGTTATAATCTCTTTTTATTTAGCAAAATTCTTGTATCAAACTAAAAAAGAAAATGGAAAGGATATTTTTGCTCAAATTACAATTGACACAGATGGTCTAAATAAGTGGTTTTCAAGGAAGCTCTTTGTTTTAAGTTTTTATTTATATCCTAGTTAGCTTCCACAATGTGGCCTCTTTTTTCCCTCTAGTTGTGCAGTTTGTTCTCTCAGTCCTCAGATCAATTTCCTGTGTGTGGAGAATGATTTGGTATTTATCTAGCTGTGTACAAGGGATGAGGCAACCACAGGGGCCCCCAATACTCTGCCATTTTAGCTTCTCCTCCCTCGCGGATATTTTCTTTACATTTCAACCAACCTTATGCAGATTTGGTGTCACCCTAATGCTCTAACACAGATTTTCAGAAAAGGCTGGAGTTATGAATTCAAGACTGAAGTCTTGCTTCAAAAGTTAAATTTTAGAATTATATTTTAAGTGACAAACTTAATTGATACCTCAAACTACCTATTACAAGCAAATCTCAACAAACATCAGAGAATAATATATAAAACATATTCTGACTACAATTCAACTAGTTAGCATTTAAGGAAAAAAACCTTGGAAGTTTAAAAGAACACTTTCTAATTTTTTTCATCTTTATTTATTTACTTATTTTGAGAGAGAGAAAGAGGGAACAAGCAGGGGAAGGACAGAGGGAGAGGGAGAAGGAGAAGGAGAGGGAGAGGGGGAAGTGGGAGAGGGAGATGGGAGAGAGGGAGAGAGAGGGAGAGGGGGGAGAGATGGGGAGAAAGGGAGAGAGAGGAAGGGAGACAGGGAGAGGGAGGGAGAGGGAGAGAAGAAGAGAAGGAGAGAGGTAGAATCCCAAGCAGGCTCCACACTGCTCACTCCCAAGAACCATGAGATCATGACCCTAAAATCAAGATTCAGACACCCAACCGACTGAGCCACTCAAGCACCCCCAAAAGAACACTTTTAAATAATGCAGGACTGAAAATATTTTAATAGAAATAAGAATCATTTAAAACTCCACAAAGATAAAAGGCTATACATCAATGAACAACAATGCAATTTATGAACAACAATGCAAACATTTTAAATTCTTAGAAAATTTAATCTGCTAGGATGTAAAAATATAAGATGATGTTTATTTCAGGAATGTAAGGATTCTTCATTATTGATTGATTTATAATGTAATTTACCACACAGAAAATAAAGGAGAAGCAATGCATATCTCAATATTTATACAAAAGTGTTATAAAATTCAACACCTACTTAAAAGTTTTTTTTTAAATCATTATGTACAAGTGGAAGGTGTAAGTTCCTTCATTTATTATTAAGCTATCAAAACCCTAGAATGGGACTAGCAAACCTTTTCTATAAAAGGTCAGATATTAAATATTGTGTTTTGAGGACCACAGGGCCTCTGTCACAACTTCTCAAATGTATCATTACAGCATGAAAGCAGCCCCACAGAATATGTAAATGAGTGAATTTTGTAATTTTAGTTACACAAACAGGCCATGGGCCAGATGTCAATTCTTGCTTAAAGCAGTAATCATAATAATAACGAAGTGCTCAAAGCATTCCTTTTAAAATTAGGAAGGAGACAAGATACCAGCTATGACTACTTCTATTCAATACTACGTTAGGATCCTAGCCAGAGAATTAAGACAAATTTAAAAATATGTAAGGACTGGAGCGCCTAGATGGCTCAGTCTGTTAAGTGTCCGACTCTTGATTTCGGCTCAGGTCATGATCTCACGGTCATGAGATCCAGCCCAGCAATGGGTTCTATCTGCCCTGAACATGGAGCCTGCTTCAGATTCTCTCTCTTCTGCTCCCTCTGCCCCTCCTCCACTCACAATTGCTCGCTCTCTCAAAAAAAATACAATAAACAAAAATATGTTAAGGATTGTACGTGATGTGATTGTTTACAGCCAGAAAACTGAAGAAAATCTACAGACAAAAGAGAAGAATTCAGTTAAGCTGCTGTGAGGCAGACTACTACATGAAAACCAACAGCATTTCTATACTGCAGCAACTAACAGAAAATGTAATTTAAAATACCATTTATAGTGGCAAGAAAAAACACACCATACTTAGGAATTAGTAAGTCTAACAAAAGGTGTGCATAGTCTTTATGGAGAAAACTGCCAAGTCTATTAAAAAAACGTAAAAAGATCTATGTAGTATAATTCACAATTGGCTGAGTGACCAACTTCAGCTCAGGTCATGATCTCACAGTTCATGAGTTCGAGCCCTGTTTCAGGCTTTGTGCTAATAGCTCAGAGCCTGGAGCCTGCTTCGGATTCTGTGTGTGTGTGTGTGTGTGTGTCTCTCTCTCTGCCCCTCCCCAACTTGTGCTCTGTCTCTCTCTCTCAAAAATAAACATTTAAAAAAAAATCGATTTCTCCGCAATAAAATAGATCCTTAAAAAATTCAAATCTTGACCACTAAGGAAACAGCCTAATATTATCCTATATTCCGACTAAAGTCATTTTTTAAAAGCTTACATAAGGATTTTCAATTAAAGCTAGAAAGCATATCATCTCTTGAGCCCTGAAAGCAGTGTTTATCCCTTTTTTTTTCAAATCCATCTTTTCTGCCAACACTGTTTTCAAAATATTATAATGTTGAACATGTTCTTTTTCAAACTTTCCAGGATTCTGATACCTGCCTTCATTGAGAATCATTGTACTAAATATGAGAATTTATTATCAATCTTAAAAAATACCATGTTTCTAGATGTTTTCAAAGAGCTGCAACAACTACATATGGTGGGGGGTAGGAATACAAATGGGAGAGAATATAAAAAGAATCAACTTACACATATAACATGTTTGTATCCAAGTCAATGCAAACAACATCTTGTGGTGGGTCATGAAGATCAAAATACCTGGAGTCAACTCCAACTATAAATGGTAAAGGTGCACTAAGGACTGCCGCCAGTGACAGAGGACAAAGGGGAATGTACGGGCACTGCCACTGAAATGGAAAGATCATCTGGGAAAAAAGCGTTAAAAAATTAACCAAATTTGAAATTTGCAACAAAAGGTATGTAATTAACTAATATTACTGAAAGTGACCATTAAAAGCAGTACAGTCTAGTTTCTTTTATCTTACACTTCATTCCAAAAACCAAATGACTATAAAATATTACTAAGCAATACCATGAACCAATGTGATTAAATCCTCACACATGACAATTATCACAAGCACAATAAAAATGCTAACAGCTCTTTGCATGTTAATTCTTCTGATGCCATACAAAACCCACATCCAACATTTTTTTGGAAAAAGTCAAAACAGAGAGAGAAAACTGTCCCCAAAACTTATAAAACAAACTCATGATCTTTAACTCTTATGCATTTCATCCATCGACTAATTTTCAAAATAACCTTTGACTAAAATCCAACTAAAAGCTCCAAGGACTGAAAAAAATTAAATTGATTCTCTTGAAAATGTCAATAGCTGAAAATTTCAACAAAAAAATTTCCTACTCAAATAAACACAAAATGATTCAACTTCCATGAAGCTTGGCATCTTAAAAAAATACCAGTCAATATAAAACATATCTTAAGAATCTATCAGCTTTTTACAAAGCTATACTTTAATTGTATCATATGTGCTTTAAAAAAAAAAGTTTCGATAAGTTAAAAAAAAGATTAAAATTTTAATTACCAGCTAATATGAAAATTCTAATCACTGATGATAAAATTTTTCCTCTACTATAAAAATCCTTGCTATATACCTTATCCACTTATCACTCACTCCAAAGAAATGCCTATAGCATTTATTACATCTGCCAGTTATTCCACATAGTTATTTAGAATTAGGATTTTATCTTCAACCATTTATTTACTTATCAAATATTCCAGCACTTAGTTTGAGCCAAGCACTGTTCTCGATGGGGCTAGAACAGTGAGTAAAACAAAGAGTGCTGCCCTCGTGAGGTTTATGGTGTAGAAAAAAAGTCAGCAAACTTTTTCTGTACAAGAAAGAAAGGAAATATTTTAGGCCTTGTGAGCCATATGGGCTCTCATAAATACTTAACTTTGTCTCCATGCATGAAAGCAGCCATGGGCATTGTGTAAATAAATGGCCTATGTTCCGGTAAAACTTTATTTACAAAGACAGGTTGCAAGCAGGATTTGACCAGTGGGCCATAGTTTGCCACCACTTGGTCTAGCAGAAAGAGACAGAAAATCAACAGAGGACAAAATAAGAAAGTATATATATCCCATATCAGGAAGTGCTAAGTGCTATGGAAAAAGAAAAAGTAAAGCCAACTTAAGGGCATTAGAGTTCATAATAGGAAAGAGGAGAGTAGGTTATATCATTAAATAGGTCAAACAAGTTAGACCTTATTAAGAAAATGACAACTGAACCTAAACCTGAAGAAGGTATGGGAGTCAGCCAATGGGACATCTAGGAGAAGGGTGCTTTCAAGAGAAGGAACGGCTAGAGCAAAGGCCTTAAGTTATGGGCCTGCCTAACATGCTTCAGGAGTAGCTACTTGCTCAAGCAGAGTAAGCAAGGGGGCAGAGTAGAAGGAAATGAGATCAGAGAGCAGCCAGAGAGAGCCACTCCCACAGGACCTTGCAAGGACTTCAGACACATTCAGTAAAAACATGTTCTATTCAACATGTTACACCTGCAACTATGTAAAAATTTTTAGGGATGCCTTGGTGGCTCAGTCGGTTAAGCATCCGACTTTGGCTCAGGTCATGATTTCGTGGTCTGTGGGTTCGAGTCCCGCGTCGAGCTCTGTGCTGACAGCTCAGAGCCTGGAGCCTATGTCAGATTCTGTGTCTCCCTCTTTCTCTGACCCTCCCCTGTTCATGCTCTCTCTCTGTCTCAAAAATAAATAAACATTAAAAAAATTTTTTTTAAAATTTTTACAAAACCATCTAACAGCAAATGTGACACCCTTGTATTCACCTTTGACCTTTTACAGCTAAATCATAAATAGGGGCATTTTTACAAATGGAGCTCCATTAATTCTTTGATATTCATTCTCCTTTTGAAGAATTTATCCTCTCATCACTCCTTTCCATTTTCTCTTTATTTTTTTTTTTTTTTTTTTTTT